AGGAAGAGGCTGGGGAGCTGTCAAGGGCTTCCCATCCCTGCTGCCTTCGGCCCATGCCAACAGCTCCCAACTCCTTCCGACATGTCCTGGCCCAGCACGAAGCAGATTCTATTCTTTTTTGTTTTTCTACTTTCTCTCTCCTTTCTGACCAGCTGCTAGCCTTGCTGACCACTCCTCCTAGTATTGCTAGGCCACTGGTCACTATTCAGAATCACTGGGTGACCCCTCACTTCCCTCCAACAGCCTCTTGTTCCCCCTTCACTCCGCAGCCCCAGTGTTCCTGAAATCCAGCTTTCTCACCCCTTCGCAGCTCCTTTCCACTTGCTATCCATTGCTCACAGGCCCCGTTTCTCCCTCCTTGTATCACTTTCTCATCGGCCCTCAGCTCCTGAGCCGGCCACACTCCCTGCCCAGCCCTTCCTCTCCAGTCCCCTCTTCCTCACCAGGAGTCCGGAGCTGCCCATGGCTGAAGCTCAGGATGCTCTGAAGAGCTGACAGCCCTTCCTTGGCTGCTGGGCCACTCTGTAGCAGCTGCAGACGCCGCTGGGCCTGGGCGTCCCGGTGGGCAGGGGCCCGCAGGTGCTGCAGCACAGCCAGGCGGGAGGGCGTCTCCCACGCACACAGCAGGCAGCGGAACAGCCCCAGCTCTGCCCCAGCGGCTGCCCCCTCCATCTCCAGCAGAAACTGGGAGCACAGAAAGAGGCTGTTCAGGCCCAGAAGAGATGGACGCCTCCAGATCTCAGGGGACTCCTTTGCTTCCCCGCAAGGGAGCCTGACCAGCAGCAACCCCTCCCTACCCATCCCTTCCACCCTCTTGAGCCCCCCTTTTTCCTCCTTGACCACCTGGATATTATTGCTTTTTCTCCCCAATCTCCTTCTCTTCCTCCTGCCAATCCTGGACTCCCTCCTAGTTTGTGAATGGAATCTGGTTCCATCCTCTTGAACTTCTGGTGACAAGATGGACTGAGCAGACACGGACCCCTCCCTCCAGCCCCAAACAACAGAAAAGCTGAATAAAGTATTGGATTCACTTGGTCAGAGTCCACCATCCTTTGGTCTCTTTCTCTACGCCTGTCTCCAAATAGTTTATTAATGTGGTGCATACTTGCCTTTTTCTCCAATTTTGCCTCGCTGGGTTTTCCATCACTTCCCCAGTCTGCATCTCCTCACTCCATCCCCATCCCCTTCTCTTCTCTCTCCCCGAAGGCCCTGTGCTATTCCCTTCCAATCCAGACCCTTCCTGCCCCACTCTCACCTTATAGATCTGGCTGTTTTCTTCATGGGCTGTGCCCCGGGCGTGCAGTTGCATCTTCTCCTTGCTGTTGGACTCAAAGTCACAGATGTTGCAGCGCAGGTGCAGGGGGGGGACAGACCCATAAGGAGCACCATCTCCCAGGGGCACTGGAGAGGGGGTGCCCATGGCCCCGCCCCCCTCCCTCAGGTGGGCTGCCAGCTGGTACTTCTGAGCATGTTTGTCAGTCTTGAGGTGGAGCTGGAAGTTGGCCTTGAGCTGGGTGCCGTAGCAGCAGAGCTTGCAGCGGTGGGTGTCGCCGGCCACCTCCTTCCACTCGGCCTCCGGGAGGCTGCGGCCCACGCTGCAGTGGTAGAGCAGCAGCTCCAGGTTGTCCGTGCTGAAGGCCTGGCACACGAGGCAGCGGAACACCTTCAGGGAGGGGCTGTCGTCTGGGGGTGGTGAGGTGGGCAGGCCATCGGACAAGGAGCCCAGGAGCTGATTTTGAGGCAGGTGGGCGTCCGGGGAGAGGCTGCCAGGGGCTAGGGGACAGAGCCGGGTTAGTGGCCCAAGGAAGGAATGCAGCAGGGTTGGTTTGCTCAGTGGGAATGTGGGTAAACAAGGATAGTGCCGAGGGGGAGCGGGGGTAAACAGGGAATTGAGTTTGGCCCTGGGGAGGGGAAGAGAAGGGGAAAGAAGAGAGCCCAGGGAGCTTACCAGGTGTGGGGAACTTGCAGGCAGGCGCTCCGAGGTGGTGGAAGCCGTTGAGAAGCAGCTGGGCTTCCAGGGGCTTGTCTGGCCTCAGCCCGGGACCAGGCAAGGGAGCCTGAGGCTGCCCTAGGGCCTGCGGTCCGAAGTACTGGAAGAGTTCAGGGTGGGTGGCGGGGGCAGCCCCTGCTGGGGGCGGGGGACCTGGCCCCACCAGCCCAGGTGGCAGACCCAGCGGCATCCCCTGGTGCAGCATGAGGACATTCTGCATGTGCTTCTCGGAGGTCATGTGGATGCGCAGGTTGCGAGAGATGTTGGTTTCATAGCTGCACACCTTGCACTGCCAGGACGATTTGGTCTTGGGCTCCTTGTCCCCCACGGAGGGTGGGAGTGCTGCCTCTGGGGGGCTTCCCTGTCCTCCAGGCCCCGCCTGGAAGCCCTGCAGGTTGGCCAGGTGCTTGTCCGACTGCATGTGGATGCTGAGGTTGCCCTTGGTGGTGGTGGAGTAGTTGCAGACGTCACAGCGGTATGGCTTGTAGCCGCAGTTGTAGCTCTCTCCGCGGGCGAGGCGGGGGTGGGCGCCCCCCGCACTGCAGTAGCTGCACTGGCTGTTGCTGTCAGGGTGCTTCTCCCGCATGTGCACGTCCAGGGTCTGTTGGTACTTGTAGTGCCAGTTGCACTTGGGACACTTGAGCGTCTTGCAGGAGTTGCGCGAGTGTAGCAGAGACATGTGGCTGGATAGGCTGAGGCCCTGGAAGGCTGCAGGGGCTGGAGTGTAGTCATCAGCAAGGCGATAGGGCTGGGGTGGGTCACTGGGGTCTTCGGGGGAGCCCACTGGGGCGGGCAGAGTGCCCCCCTCCTTGGAGGTGGGTGAGCTTTGGTTGAGTGGGGGGCAGAGCCCTCCATCCTCTTCTTGCCCCTCGGGGAACCAATCTGGCCCTGCCTCACCTGCTGCCGTTGGCGATTCTTTGGCTTGGGTTGGGCTGGGGTCCCAGGTGGCTGGGGCTGTGGGTGGGGAGGGTGGGCTGAGGGCCATGACTTCTTCCACGGGCAGGACGAGGGCCTGGGCTTCTGCCTCAGAGGGGCCTTCCTCGGTCTGGGCTACATGCACCTCCATGTTCACTGTGCTGCTGTTGTCAAGGGGAATTTCTAAAGGGGGGCGAGCAGGCAGTTTTGGTTCCAGAAAGCTTAGGAGGGCCATGCAGCCCTCGTCCCCCTCCTGGAGCACAGCTGGGTTGCCCGGCAGGCCCTGGTGTTGAGCGTGGGTTAGCTTCACCCCATGAGACTGTGTGTGACCTTTAAAGGCCTGGGGCCTGCTGAAACCCAGGCGGCACAGGAGGCAGAGCCAGAAGAGTGTCCTGTGGTCTCCCTCCCTGTTCTCCATGGGGCCATCTTTGGGATCTCTGGGTGGGTTTGGAGCCAGCTGGTAGCTCCAGAAGGCTCCATCCCTTCCCTCACAGGCGGCCGGAGATGGCGCTGAGGTATCGTGGGACAGAATTTGGTCAGAAGAGCTAAAGCCTTGGATTGGGTCAAAGCCATGTTGGATGTGAAGGGCAGTGAGGTGTGTGGGGGGCGGGTGGGCAAGGAGGGGCAGACTGGGCTCTTCCTTGCTGCCTGCCTCACCCCAGGGAAAGCCCTTTGGTAACAGGAGTTCACTGCCACCTGGCAGGGACAGCTTGGCCACTAGGCAGGCCTCACCACCAGCTGTGAAGAATAAGTGGTCGCTTAGGTCCACAGGAGGGAGCCCTCCTCCTTCCTCCTCCTGCTCCTTGTCCTCTTCCTCCCCCAGGTCCTTTGGTGGGGAGCCACCACAGCCAGGCTCTTCTCGGGGCTCCCCAGTCTCCTTTGGTGGGATGAGGCCATAGCCTGACTCCAGGGGCTGTCCCCCTGGCTCTGAGGGCCTCATGCTCTCAGAGGTGGAAGGGGCAGCAGGGGGATCTTTGGTGACAGGATCAGAGGAGGTCCTGGGGGAGGAGGTGTCCGGAGGCGGGGACGGGGCATTGTGCCCAGGGGAGGGGGTGGTGCCAGCAGTAGAGGATGAGTTAAGGGTGGCCATGGCAGACGGAGGAGTGCTGGGGGTTCATTTCAGCCTGACAGCCGGTACCCTGCAGGGGGCACACGAGAGAGCGGGGCTGTGAGGTGGCAGAGAAGACACCCAGCCAGGCAGTTGACCTCCCCATACTCCAGCCCCACGCTCTTCCCTGAGCACCAAACTCAGGTACCCATTTGCCAACTCGAAGCTTCACTTAGTGTCTAACGGGCTTCAAATTTAACATGTCCAAAATCAGAACTCTTTATTTCTTCCCGAATTGGTTCCTCCCCATCTTTCCTATCAAAAATTGATACACCATTTATCTGGTTGTGTAGGCTAAAAACATGAAGGTTTTCTCTTGCCCCTACCCGTATGCAATTTGACAGCAACCTTTCAAACATGTGTCACATCCCTCCATTTATCTTCATCTCAACTAGCACCATCCTGGCCCAAGCCATTATCATCTCTTTCCTGAACTAAAGCAATGGACTCCACATTGGCCTCCGTTTCCACCACTGCCCCTACAATCCAGTCTTCTTCCACCCAGCAACCAGAATGATCTTTCATTTAATTCTCAATTATGAAAAATGCCAGACACATATAAAAGTAGACCAAATAATGTAAGGACCCCCTTTGTACTCATCACCCAGCTTCAACAGTCACCAACTCACAGCCAATCTTGTTTATCTATATCCTCACCCATTTCCTCCTTTTCCTGTATTGTTTTAAAGCAAACTTCAGGCATCATAAAGAATCTTCTTTTAAAATGTAAATCATACTATATTCTGTTTAAAACCCATCAACAATTTCTCACTGTACTGTGAATAAAACCCAAACTCCTTTCTCTGATCTACAGAAGGGCCCATCTGATCTGATGCCTGCCCACCTATTCTCCATCCCCCTGGCTGCCTAGCTGCAGCCCACGGGCCTTCTTTCTGTTCCTCAAATACACAAGTTCATTCCCACCATAGGGCCTTGCCCAAGCTGTTTCCTCTGCCTGGAATGCTCTTCCCTCAGACCTCTGCTCCTTGTCATTCGGGTCTCTGCTTCAATATCACTTCTTCCAACAGGCTTTCCCTCTCTATAGAAGCTAACACAGCCCCATGGGTTACTTTCTTCAGAGATTTTTCATGACCTGCTATTTCCTGGTTTACTTATTTCTCCCTTCTAGAAGGTAAGTTCCATGAGAGCAGGAACTCTGTCTGCTTTATTTATTGCTCCATCATTAGCACCAAAAAAGATACCTGCCACATAGTCAATACATGTCTGTTGAATGAATGAACTCTGAGAAAGACCCTCTGATTTTCCATGACCTGAAGAGGTAATTTCCCTAAGTCAAGGTCCTCTTGCCAGAGAGGCCACAGTGAATTTCCACTGGCCTGCAGGCACCTGCTGCTCTCAGATGCCTTCCAGAGCCATCTCTGGTCACAAGCGTGTGGAACGGGTGGGAGCTTCCCTGGCCAGTTGAAAGACCATAACTAGTGTGTGATTAGCCTCCTCCTCCCCAAAGAGATAAAAAAATAAGAAGTTAACAGTAATAATCTTACTAATAGCTATTAAGGTACATATACCATGGTGCTGGCACTGTGATAAATGCTTTAATCAATTATCTCATTTAATCTCACAATAACCTTGTTTTACAGATGAGGCAGCCAAGAAACAGAGAGGTCTAGTGAGCAGCTGATTGTTACACAGCTGTAAGGTGGTGAAACTAGAAAAGGATTGGCAGGGCACAGAGCTGTACCCCAAAGCTGTGGCCTGGGCTCCTCCATCCAGCTGGACTGTCCCTCAAACACAGGACAGGCAAAATGAGCCCCCCAAGGTCTAGAAATCAGGATTCCTGGGCTCCCTCCACCTGACAGAAGCCCCAAGCCTCCTATGCTGCTCCCAACTTTTTAATCTTGATCCTCCCCTCCAACTCACCAGTTCCTCATGCCTCCCCATCCCATGCTTGTCCCACTGTCCCAAGTGGCCTCCGTCTTCTCCAGTTCTCCCTATCAGCAGACCCCTAATGACTAAACCTTTAGTGCTCAGGCTAGAGTGCTTCCAGGAAGGGCTAGGGGTGTAGCCACTCCTTCCTTGGGCCACCTCTAACCCTCACCTTCAGATTCCAAGATTTGGAATGGGGCCTTGGTCTGGCTCTACCCAGCCTGCAGGCCCCCATCCCCACTTCCCTCCTCCTACTGGGGGGCTAGCCAGGCGTGAAGTCAGAGCCATTAAGGAGCTCCACGTGGGGCTGGATCAGCATGCTAATGAAAGTGCAAATCAGCACCTGGGCAAGGGGTGGAGGGGATTGGGGGGTGGCGTGTTGGAGAACCAAAAGGGAAGTAAAGGAATTAGATGGAGGGAGGGGTTATCCCAGATAACCAGAAAGCAGAAGCTCTGAAGTTGTGAGAGAAAGGTATTCCTCCTACAGAATCCTTGTGGGGGGAGAGGGATAAGTGTGCAGGTTTGTGAGGGTCTGACATTCTGTCATCCGCACAATGGGGGCCCACAGCTCTTTTACTGCCCCGCCTGGTGGGAAGAACTGAGGCCGGGCCAGAGGGCCAGAGGGGCCTCTCTGGGCCCTGTCGTTGAGGGCTGGGCCATGATGGAGGAAGACCTAAGCCCCAGATCCTCTCTCCAAAGCTTCTGCTACCCAGGACTGGAAAAAGACACAGCAGATTCCTAGCTAGACACCAAAGGGGCTTAGCTTTGGGCTAGCATGTGGGTGAGACCCAGGTCGCCGAGGGTAGGTCGGCAGCTGTTTAAAATTGCAAATCTCTTCCCCACTTCCCAACCCATCCCTCCTCCTCTTCAGGGAAGAATTTCAATTGCAAATTTATCTCTGCCTCAGTGCACGCCCCCCCAACTCCCCTCCCTTTCTTCTCTGTGCTTCTCCCATCACCCACTGTTTATTACAAACCTTTAACTGCAGCAATTATTTTTTCACTTTTTTTCCTCCTTCCATTTCCCTCCTCCTCAGTCTTTCCTTCCTTCCCTCTCTGAATCTGTGTCCCTTTCTTTGCCCTTCCTACCTTGAACTCCATTTTCATCTCTTTCTAGAGATGATGCAGAACCAGATGACCCACCTAAGTCATCCCCCACCTGCACCCCCAGGCCAGGAGTCTTGTCCGACCTCGGCCATTCCTCCTTTAGTTCCGGGCTGTCCTAAAGGGCATCTCTTCTCCCTCGGGGCACATCTTAGCAGTGGGGAAAGGGAGAAGGCGACCCCTCAAAGGTTCTTGCATTCCTGCCTCTGGTGGAGGGAAGGATTAAGGGGGTGGATCAGGTGGAGGTGGAGGGACAGTCAAAAGGAAAGACCCAGGTAGAGGCAAGGGCTGGGGGCCCATGAGGAGAGGGGTTAGGGGAGACAGCAGGCAGTGGCGGCGGGGTGATTAGAGTGAAGATTGATGTGAAGGGGCGCCACAGACGGCAGAGAGAGTCAATAAAACGAGAGGATCACATTAGAGGCGACAGAGAGAGAGCTTTAAATTACAAGGCTGCTGCCACCGAGGGGGAGGGCAGGAGGCAGGCCTGGAGCCACGGGAGGGTGGAGAGTTCTGAGGGTGTCGTCATCCCCGGAGATGAATCTTCCAGCTCCAAAATGGCCCTCAGTCTCCAGCACTCCCTTGCTGTCCCTTTGCTCCATCCTCCCTCCGTAATGCTTCCTTCCCTGACAAGGGTGAGGAGAGGAGAAAGGGGAAGATGGAGAGAAAGCGATGGAGAAACAGAAGAGATTTTTTTTTTGTATTGCCCTCTTCCTCCTTCCAGATTGGCCCTCTGGTTATCCTCAGGATGCGAAGGGAAGGACGGAAGTGCTACTTTCAAAGCTCAGCTAGGGAGTTGTTGCCCCACAAGCAAATATAATTGCTGAACTGTAAATATTCTTCCATGGGTGGTGAGAAGAAAGGCACCCCGTAAATAGCCGGACAAGAATTCTGACTTCTCGATATGCACTCCCTGTTCAGGGGGCAGATACACAGTATTTAGAACAGGAAGAAGCTATGTAGCCAGGAGGCTCTAAGACAGTAGGACTCAGAAAGCTACTGAGAAAGATGATATGAGACAGATGGAAAGGCTTGGACTTGAAGTTGTGGAAAGCTGAAAGGCGGGCTCTGTGACCACGGAGACAGGGAGAGCACAGGAAGACTTAACCAGCAGAGAATTACAGGAGCCAAAGGGGCAGGGCAAGGAAAGACCAAAGAAACGAGGCCCAAGGAAGGAGAGACTGCCCCGCGCCTGGAGGAGACAGCGTGTGGGTTCGATTGGCCGACAGGGCTGTAGGCAAAGCTGGCCAGGAGCGCTCCCTCAGGAGGGGACCTCCCCCCCACCAAGGGGAGGCCAGGACTCCTCCTCTGGCAACCAGAAGAGGAAAAGAAACACCACTGCTCCCTAGTGGTTACGGAGGGAACATCACCAAGGAGGGGACAGGCCTGACCGGGAACAGATTGGTTTTCTTCTCCTGGCTCCCCTCCTTAAAACAAAAAACAAACCCCCCCCTCCTTTCTTCAAACCCAGCCACAAGGCAAAGGCTCCTTTCCCAGCCAGGTCTGCCTGAGGGCACCAACACGTCTCCTTAAAGTTTGCATACAATGATTTTCAGATCAGAGCCTTCCAAACACTTTGCCTTTCACTTTTCCAATTGTTCCATCTATCCTCTTTCTCTTACTCAGAGCCAGTTTTCTGGACCTTTTCTTTTCTCTTCCCTCCCTCTAAAGTTCTTGCCAAGGGCACTGCTCTGTTCACACTCACTTTGCCCTTGTCTTTCTCCCCTTTCTGTCTCTACCTGTTGCTTTCAAGAGGAGGCAGCCATGGAGAGGAGGGGAGAAACAGGAAGAATGGAGTGTGTGCCTTGCATAAGGCGGATTGTTTGGTGTAAACAGCAAATAAACTCTAACTAAGATGAGCTTTATTTTTTAAGGCAGTGAAAGAACATGGGCTTTGGATTCATGCAGACCCAGGTTCGATCCTGGCTCCCCGACTCACCAGCTGTGCAACCTTGGTAAGTTACTTACAGAGTCTCAGTTTCCTTATCTGGGAAAATGGGAATAATGATACCTTCCTTACCAGGCTGTTGTGGAGTCCGGATGAAGTAACATGTGAAAAGTACATATACTGCATGTCCAATCAGGTTGGTTCTTTTCCTTCTCTCTTGGCTATCTCTTTCCACAGAGCAGAGCAAGGTGTTTGCAGGTAGCCTGACAACTTCCCTTCTGCCTTGCCTTTTCTCGACCAGGACTCATCCTCTAATCTCTGTCCTTTTCAACTGAGGGCAGATTCTTTGGTGGGCAGGATTTAAATCTAGTCTGCTCAGCCTCAGAGTTCATTTCTCACTTGGCCCTCTTGATTGCTGGGCCTAGAGACACCCCATTATCCCAGAGCAAAGACTGGAAGCTTTGCCCAGGCTCACACTTGGCCTGTACACAGAACAGCTAATACCTGGAGCAAAACTATGATAGCCTCTTTCTGTGTTTAAAACTATCACTGTCTCTGTTTCTAAATCTCACCTACTATATTTAAAAAGAAAGCAAAAAAGCTACTGCTATTCCTCCATTTTTTATTTTTTGTGAAGATCAGCCCTGAGCTAACATCCATGCCAATCCTCTTTTTTTTTGCTGAGGAAGACCGGCCCTGAGCTAACATCTATTGCCAGTCCTCCTCCTTTTTTTCCCTTTTTCTTCCCAAAGCCCCAGTAGATAGTTGTATGTCATAGTTGCACATCCTTCTAGTTGCTGTATGTGGGACACCGCCTCAGCATGGCCGGACAAGCGGTGTGTCGGTGTGTGCCTGGGATCCGAACCCGGGCCGCCAGTAGCAGAGCGCGCACACTTAACTGCTAAGCCACGGGGCCGGTCCACGCTATTCCTCCATTTTAATTCTACATAGCTCTCCTAGACCTCTCCCCACCCCCCTAAATATTTAGGGAGTGCTTACTGTGTGCAAAGTAAGTTTTGTCCAAAAGAGAGAAAATGAGAATGGCAGGGAATGAGATAGGCAGGAAAAGGAGTGTCATAGGGGGTAAAGAAAGAAGAGGAAGGAGGGAGGGAGAGGGAGGGGTAGGAAAGTGGAGGAGGGGATGCTGGATCCTGATCTGCATATGTAAATACTGAATCACATTGAGGCATCCCAGCTTTGGCATCAGATTGGGCAAGGGGCCTGTCCCCAGTGAGAAGGATGGAGCAGGAGGCTGTGTCTTACACCTTACAAGATGCTTAAGGTGGGCATGAGAGAACTGGGTGAGGTGAGGAGAAAGGAGAGGCTGAGAGGAAGAAGATGGGGGTGGGTAGGGAGGAGATGGGGATAAAAGGGAAGCTATGGACTAAAACCACAACCAGTGAGTTGAACATCCATCCACATTTGCATGGCTTTTTGAGGTGTGCTGCGGGGTGTCTGCTGCTGGAGGGGCAGGTGTCCCCGAGTGGAAAGGAGCCTCTTGCCCATGCATTTCCCTCAGTGACGCCACAAGTGTTAGAATGGCAGTGTGGAGTTGTGTGATCTTATAGTGCACGGGAGGGAGTCAGGCTTAGACAACCACACGAAGCCAGCTCTGAACCCTTCTATGTGAGAACTTAAAGGACAGGGAGTGTTCTGTGTCTGCCCTTGAATGCAGATTCAGAATCCTATCTGATCCTGGCATGGGGGGGCCTCTGTAGAAGACCTTTGATCTCCTGAGCTTGAAAGGAATAACATGCAATTCTTCTAGAATTATTTGGAAGGATATCACTGTAAGTGACTGTGTATATAAATAAATCCTTCTGGTTCTTTGATTCTAGATGAACCCTTGTGATGGTAATGACTCCATTTAGATACTAATCACAGCAACAACT